ACCATGTGGCATAATTAGGGTCAGTTAACTTGTCAATGGATAAGTGCACATTAACATAGTGTAAATGGAAGGATCAGACGCAGTACTGACAAAATTGGAAGTACTAAAAGGAGCGGAAGAAGTCATAAAGGGCGGAGGCGGTGAAGGCAATAGTGACAACGGCGTGAACCAGTACACTAGGTAAGTTCCCAGGAAAGAGAGGTGGGTCACTAATGGACACGCTTAAATACCAAGTTTTTCTTTGCCAGAACTTTTCTAGACATGCACTTTCACACTACCAAATAAAATTTAGTAACAAAGATAATTTTTTTCTTATGTAAAGGATTAGTTTACCAGTAGCTGTGGGGCGGCTCTAGCAGCGGTGGGATGGCTCTAGCAGCGGTGGGGTGGCTCCAACAGTGGACAAAAGGCGAAAAAAAATTTCAAGTTAACCTTAAGCTCTAGATACCATGTTGAATATAGAGAAAATAGGGTTTAGAATTAATCTCCCTTGGATATAAATCACACATAGGGTAGTCTATTTATAACAGAGAGATACAACTAAAAGAGTAACTAAAAGTAACAGAATAAACAGAAGATATTGTTTGATATTATGGTTAACAATATCTAACAATATTTTAATAATATTAAATAATATTTAAACAATATCTAACACATATAAATTGTATGTATTAAACTTGAAACAAATCATTTCAATCTGAGGACCCCTTAATGATTTTGGTAACACATCTGCAAGTTGATCATTAGATCCAATAAACTCAATATAAGTTTTCTTAGCTACCAATTTTTTTTAAACGAGATGATAGTTAATTTCAATGTGTTTCGTTCTCTCAAGGAATACTGGATTAAAGGCAATGTAAAGTGCAATTTGGTTAGCACAATACAATTTAATGATCTAGATCTCACAGAAGTTAAGCTCTTGAAGGAATTGTTTCACCTATAGAAGGTCGCAAGGGATGTCATTACCCTATATTTAGCTTCAATAATTGATTGAGCCACTATATTTTGTTTCTTACTTGTCCAAGAAATAGCATTTCCTCCAAGAAAAACACAATACCTTATTGCAAAGCATCCATCATGAGAGGATCCAACCAAATCAGCATCACAATACCCAGATATTTGATTGTTGCCTCTATCTTCTTATAACAACCTTGTCTTGGAGCCTTTTTGAGATACCACAAGATTCGGATGATGTCATTCCAATGGTCAATACAAGGAACCTGCATGAATTGGCTAACAATTTCAACTGTGAAAGGCAAGTCGGGTCTATAAATAATAAGATAAATAAATTTTTCAACCAGTCTTCTATATCTTTTTGGACCAAAGAACAATTCATTATGTTTCATTAGTTTCTAATTTGGGTTCATAGGATTGTTTACAGTCAATCGTACCTGTCTCTTGTAGAATTTCTAGTGCGTATTTTCTCTGAGATATTATAACACCTTCTCTTGACTGAGCTACTTCAATACCCAAGAAGTATTTGAGACTACCAAGATCTTTGGTTTGAAAATGCTTAAACAAGTGTTCCTTTAATTGGGATATTCTAACAACATCATTCCTTGTAATAAGGATATCATCAACATATACTATTAAGTAAACACATTATAAGGAGAGGTATAACAGTGACAGATTGAATGATATGCTTCACTTCATTTCAGTCCAAAGTGGCTAAATTTCTCAAACCAAACTCGTAAAAAAATGTTTAAGACCACAAAGAGAGTGAGGTAACTTACAAACCAAGTCTGACTCCCCTGATCAACAAATCAAAGAGGTTGTTCCATGTATATCTCTTCTTTAAAGATAATAACATAGAAATACATTTTTTAATCTAATTGATGAAATGGCCAATAACGAATAACTGTTATGACAAAGAATAAACGAATAGTAGCCATTTTGGTCACCGGGAAAGAAGTATCGTTATAATCAAAGCCATAAATCTGAGTGTATCTTTGAGCAACTAAGCGTTCCTTGAAACAATCATCTTCATCATTTGAGTCAACTTTAATGGCATTAACCCATCGACATCCCATTGTTTTCTGTGGAAGGAGTACCAAGTCCCATGTGTGATTCTAGTAATGAGCCTACATTTTGACAATCATGATTTATTGCCATCCAAGATGACAAGTGCTTCATTCACTTTTTTAGGAATAGTAATGGATGACACCGAAGATAGAAAAAATAATAGGAAGGGGACAACATGTGATAATTAAGAAAATTATAAATAGGATATGAATTACGGGTAGAACAAGTACCATTTTTTAGGGTAATGGGCTAAGCTAAATCATCAGGATGAGGAGTCGTGGTATGATGAGATGATGGAGAAGGACAGGAAGAAAAGGTCTCACCCTGGAGCATCATATGAGTCATTCAGTTATGGTTTTGGTAAGTAAGGAGAGGAGGTGGTGATGGTTTAGTTTGAGAAGACCGAGATCATCCGAGGCACAAGGAACAATTAACTAAACTAATGGGATAGGTAGTACCTCTTTGATAGAGTAAACATCTTGAATAGATGAAGAGAAAAAAGAAGCTTGTTTAAAGAAAGCGACACTGACAAACATATAGTATTTCTTTGTTTCAAGAGATTAACACGGATATCCTTTTTTAAGGCAAGAGTAGCCTAAGAAGACACATTTGATAGCCCGGGTAGAAAGTTTATCTATTCCTAGGGATAAATCATGAATAAAATATACAAAGCAGAACACACAAGGAGAAATGTGAAAGAGATGATATTTGGGAAAAAAATGCAATAGGAAATCATATTATTGAGAGAAGAAGATTGCATTCTATTAATAAGAAAGTAAGCAGTAAGGATAACATCACCCAATGATGGATCAGTAGATTGACACCAAGCAATAGGGTATGAGCAGTCTTAACTAAGTATCTATTTTTCCTTTTAGCAATACCATTTTGCTGAGGGATGTGAGGATAGGTAGATTGGTGTAGAATGTCATGCAAATTTAAAACAGCAGAGAAATGAGAGGACAATACTTTTTGGCATTGTCACTAGTTTTAATTACTTGAAAAAATTGATTTTTAATTTCATTCAAAAAAGATGTAAAGATAGGCAATAATTCTAAACAATCTTTCATAAGATAAGTTCATGTACGTTGAAATATTTATCAATGAATGTAACAAATGTATGTGAACCTAAAAGACAAGACATGACAGGGTCTCCAAATATCAAAATGGATAATAAACAAAAGCAAAACTACATATTTATTTAGACTTTTTTTGGAAAAGATTATCTAACATATTTGCCTAATGGATATGACACATTCTAACGTTCGAAAACTATTAAGTTTAGGAACCAATTTTATTATTTTTGACAAGTTGGGATTAAGATGCAAAATAGGACACAAGTGGACTAGCTCCAAAATAGTATAAACCTCTATATTCATGTTCTTCTCAAATCAATCATCTTGTATCACATTCCTGTATAACAAATGAACTAACATCAAAGGTTATTGAATAATTTAAAAACTTGATTAATAATGAAATAAGATTGAAAGAACAAAAAAGTACTAACAGAACAAATTTTAAATTTAAAAAAAGTGAAAAGGAAACATCACCCACTCCTTTGGAAGGAGTTTTTGAACCATTGGCTAAGGTTATGAAATGAAGATTCTTGGGAAAGAAAAGGGATGAGAACAAGGATGTTGTTGAGATATGTCATGTGTTAGAGTTCAACTCATGTTTCTTTTGTATGCATGTTCCTTAGACTAGGGTTAAGGTTTTGGGCTGATGTCCATATTCTATTTTTTTGTATTCCTTATAAATACAACAATATTGGAACACTAAATAAGTTTTCTCAAGTTGGAAAATATATGTTTTAGAGGGTTTAATCACACTTTTAATGTGATTTCTTATTTATAATGATTAAGTACAAATGCGATGAATAGATGGAAAGTCAAGGTAAAGTTTGAGCTAGAAACCTAGATACAAAGATAGGTACAACTCTTAGATTAAATACAAAACAACTTTAAGACACAACTATACTTAGCCTAATAATTCCAACAGGTTTGATAATTAGTGCAATAACGAAATCATATTCTTGAGATAAATCTTCAAGAATAAAATCAAGATGTTCTTTGAAAGAAACCAGATCACCAATGATGCAAGAGAATCAATAGGAGTTTTAATTTGAATAAGATATTTAGCAACACAACGATTATCAAGAGAGGAATTATGCAACTCATACCTTTGTTGTCTTTGGTCATAGTTTAATAATGATGAAAATATGAATAAATCTTCTCCCAAACTTCATAAGAGTGGAGACAACCAAGAACCCAAGCAAGAATTGTACTAGAAAGAGACAATTGTGACCCAGGTAATAACATCTGATCTTGTTGTTCCCAAACAAGATAATCTGAATTCACACAATCAAGAACACAATTTTGATCAGAAAGAAAACGGGAAGGAATATTTGGAGTTACAAGAAAATGATGCAACCTATGTGCCTTGATAACGGGTTCGACTTGTTGAAGCCATAGCAAGAAATTCTTGTCATCTAGTTAATCTGAAATATGATGAGAAAATGTGACCAAAGTTTGTGCAGGAGCAAAGATGAAAGAACCACTATCAGTGGCAGCAGTGTGGGTTTGCATGGGCATTGCCAGAGTCATTGCATGTGGTGGAGGGGAAGGACGGGGAATATTGTCTAAAGCCATGGATCATATGGCTCTTCATACCATATTGAAAGAAAGAAAACAAGAAAGATGTAATGATACAGAAAGAAAAAGTACAATTAGTAAAAGTTACATTAATTCTCTGATGCAATCCTATATATTAAACAGAGAATCACTAATAGTTAGTTGTACACAATTACAATTGACAGAAAACATAAAAGAAATATCTCTAACATTGATGATTGTGAATTTTGTCTATGCTTCACATGTGGTTGTAGGCCGATAGTTTCCCATACGCAAACTGTTGAGCTACATTAACTTTGGCATCATTTTCTTCTCTTTTCTTTTTTCCACACCTGGTTAAAACAACTTCTAATGGAGTTTTCTATGTTCATGAAGCTTTCAGCCGTTTGTGAGACTAAGTTTCATTATCAGGACAAAATTCCTCCCAGTGATTATGTTGTTGATATTGCATCAAATATGCAGGTACGCCATATTTCTTTTGCCAAATAAGTAAATAACTTTGCAGGGAACTTCTTGATAGAAATCATATTATTAATGGATCTTTGTTATTTTACAGTTTTATCCTGTAAAAGATTGGTTGGCAGGATCGTCCTTGCCTTTTAAGTTTAGCCCGCATGTCATCCATATGATACTAGATCAGCTTTCTCCAGACAATGTGCGGTAGGTGTACTAAAATCAAAGCTGTAAACTTATTTATATTAAGAATGTGAAGGACCAACTGTCCTAAGCTGTTATTTAATTAAGGCTGTGACTTTGTTATGATTAAATTTAAGCTGTAACCCATTCTCGAGCAGAATCTTTTGGGAGTCGAAATGTTTTGAAGGGCTTACTGACAAGGTGGAGCCATGGTATGGAACTGCATATTCCCTTGAAAAGATCACTGGTTCTATGATACAGGTATGTGCTTTCATGAGAATTAACGTTTGATTTTTGGACTGGGTTACTCATTTGAATAATTTTTCTGTTTTCCCCATGGATTTTGCTATATTTATTGTCATGAAAAGGTGGAACTTGATAGACCTCAAAATGCTCGTATTCGTAGGGGTGGATGGCTTCTGCTCCTGATGAAAATATGCATCTTCCAGCGCCTAACAAATTCATTCCAACTGACTTGTCACTTAAAACTGTGCAAGAAAAAGTATGAGATATTTTTAAAGATTATATATATATATATATATATATATATATATGTTTGCACCATGGATATCTTGATCATATGATTAATACTTTAAAACAGGAGAAGTTTCCAGTTTTGCTAAGCAGGTCAACTTATTCAGCTTTATGGTACAAGCCAGATACATTGTTTTCTACACCCAAGGCTTACGTTAAGATTGATTTCAATTGTCCATATGCTGGAAGCTCTCCTGAGGCTGACGTTTTGATGCATATTTTCACACAATTATTGATGGATTACTTGAATGATTATGGTAAGCTTCTAGTTGTAGATGGACTTTACTTTGTACTAAGTTATTTCTGCATATTGTGTCCACTAAGTCCCTAAATACAAGTTGAAGGAGTTCTTAATTTCTTTGTTTAGCTTATTATGCTCAGGTTGCTGGTTTATATTACAGCATAAATGATACAGATGGTGGTTTCCAGGTACTCTTATAATGTATTTTTGTTTACAACACTGCATTTTTTGTATTTGTAACTTAAAAATTAGGTTATAATAAAATAACTGTTCATGAATGCTATCAAGATGCTTTCTGGATCTCTATTTTCAACACTTAATTATTAAATGAAATTCATAGTGTAATTACTAGATAGGGAGTGGGGCCTATTAAAAGGGAGTGAGACTCATGTGAATTTAACCAATAATGAGAAGTATTGGAAAGAGAGTGTTGCTAGCATTGCTTTAATCAATAATATGTATTGCATTGTTTTGTTCAATTGTAACATATAGATGATCCACTCTGATTTTAAATTTAATTGTTAAAAATATACTTGAGTTCAATTCTACAGTTTACGACTATGATTAAAATAGCAGCCATCACGTAAAGGTTGGCAATTGATATCCTGATAATCATAAATTTGATATTTGAAAGCTTAATAAATGTTTAAATTGTTTATTATATCAGGGATGGATAACATTGACATATAATTTGGAAGATTTTCTATGCTCGTTATAATGAAACCTAGAGTTTTATTTATCTATCAATTCCTTTTGTATCTTAATTAAACTTTCAAGTTCTTTGGTTGCTTTGTACTATGAAATTTGTGTGGGAGTATAAATGAAAATAGAAACAGAGGGCTTCATTCTTCCTCTGCCCGCCTTTAAATAAATGTGTTACTTCATTCTCATAATTAAAATGCTACTTTTTTTAGGTTACACTCCTTGGTTATAATCACAAGTTAAGGATTCTACTTGAAACTATAGTTGAACAGATTGCAACATTTGAAGTGAAAACTGACAGGTTTTCAGTCATCAAGGTACTTTGTCAGACTCTTCTCACATGGGATTTAGTTAACTAATTCTTTTCATTTGGAGATTAAATTGATTTTTTATGTTATGTTCCGTGGGGCAAGGCTGATTCTTTGGGTGATGTTTCTCTTCTATACCCTGTCTTTTTCCATAAAACATTGGCAGTTACTTTCTTCCACATGCTGTAATATCCCATCAAATCTTTTAAATCCGTTACCAATTTTCATGTCTAAGCTGGGTAACAATTCATTCTAGCTTCTTATTGTTTTTTCCGTGCATGCTCAACCCATCTTAAAAGTGCAATTCTACCACCTTTCCCGCATAGGTGTTACTCCTGCTATCTCATTATTCATTCTTGAACTTATGTATTCATGCACATCATCCACTATTTTATCGCAACATTCTCATATTTTGCAACACTTGGCTCGTGCTCCTGTTCGCACAGATTTTACAATATATTTTTTCTTTTGTTCAATTTATTAAATGATATTGTTAAAGATATGATGACCCCCAATCGCCAAAAAAATGGCCACCAAATCAGACTGCAATGCAAATTTACTGCTTCTGTTCCACTTAAGCTATGCTTGCCGGTAGTGCATTGAAAAGAACAATGACCAACAACACTAAAGTTAAATAAATTTTTTTTTTGTTAGGAATTTTTTATATTTAAGTTCCAAGATAAATACCATCAAATTACGATTTTAAATTTTGGGCCGCAAATTATCTATTGGACCATTTTATTCATATATGATTCCTAGTCTCTTCGTTAGAGAGATTTATTATAATATTTTTTTTCAAACTTAAACAAAGATATTTTGGAAACTAAAGTATAAATTATTTTGAAACTTATATCTCACTTTGTTAGCTAGAATTATGTTTTGTTATTGATCATGAATCTTATGTGATTCATGACATGATTCGATTAGAGATTCACAAATTATATCTTCGACCACCTTGATAAAGACCTATAGTTTAAAAACTGAATTAATCTATAAAATTAAATGCCAAATTCAGAAAACAAAATCTTAAAAAATGGTAATATTAAACTCATACAATTTATACAAGCCTACAAATCCGTGAAATTCAGGGAGCCTTATCCTAGTTTATATCATAATAAGAAAATATGCTTACAGTGAGTATGAACTTGTGTTCGGTATTCGATTTATAAATTATCCATGCCAGCATTATTTAAATAATTTTTTTTCTTGATTTCTAATAGTCAAATTTATTTATCTTTTAATATACCATCTTATCAGGAAATGGTAACGAAGGAATACCAAAATTTCAAGTACCAACAACCTTATCAGCAGGCTATGTACTATTGCTCATTGATCTTACAAGATCAAACTTGGCCTTTGATAGAACAACTCGACATACTTCCTGCTCTTCAAGTTGAAGATGTTGCTAAATTTGTACCATTAATGCTTTCCAGGACCTTTGTAGAGTTTTATATAGCAGGTTCTTAGGCCTTTCTCTCTCTCTTTATGGTTGGCAAGTTACTTTTATTCAACTAGAATGAAATTTTCTGCACAGGGAACATTGAAAGCCATGAAGCAGAGTCAATGGTCAAGCACATAGAAGATGTTCTCTTTAATTGTTCTAAACCTCTGTGCAAACCTTTATTCTCATCTCAACATTTGGCAAATCGGGTTATTAAACTTGAAAATGGCACGAGTTATTTCTACCCTTCAGAATGTCTTAATCCTGAAAATGAGAATTCTGCTCTTGTGCACTATATACAGGTAAATAAGTCTGGTTGCCTAGACTGATATGCATCACTCCATACAAATATCATTATTTGCTGGAAAAGCAAGTTGTTAGCTTATGCCTATTTTACATATTTTATTTTGGCCGTGAACAGAGTTCCAAATCGATGCCAACAAACTGAGTAACTGATGGACCTAGCTTTTAAAATGTTATACTGTTTCTAAAACAGTATATTGCTTTAATTAGTCTCTTTAGTGTAGTCATGAAAATTGACTCTCTTTGAAAATCATCTGGACGGGAACCTTACCTTTTATGTTATGATAATTACCAGACAACAAAGTGTTATCGTATTGCACCCAATGCATCTGTTGAGGATCATATATCCGTGGGCAACAAAGTTTTGGCATATCCAATGCAAAATAATCCTTCCTTCTGATTAGTTGAGGTTCTGTTGCATGAATTTTCATTATTTTGTTCGGCAAAATGTTCTCAGTTTTGTCTCTTTGTATATTTAGACTTGAATTTTTCTCCCACCTTTTTGGCCTTGCCATTTGATAAGATTTTAGTTTTTTCATATTAATTTTTAAGCCATTGTTTATAATATCCCTCCTATTAAATTTGTAGGTTGGTCGAGATGACTTTAAGCTGAATGTTAAACTTCAGCTTTTTGCCCTTGTTGCGAAGCAACCGACCTTTCATCAGCTACGATCAGTTGAGCAGCTGGGGTACATTACTGTGCTCTTGCAGAGGTATGTTGATTTGTGGCATCTTTATGTATTCAGTTTGGAAGGCGTACATTTGTTTTTAACTTCAATTTTAAACATATCTAGGAATGATTGTGGTATACGGGGACTACAGTTTATTATCCAATCCACAGTAAAGGTATTTCCCCTTTGGAACTTGGAAATAACAAAAAATAATTTTTAAATTATCACATATGCTTAAGCTCAAAATTTTACTTGCTTCTTAGGCTCCTGGGAACATTGAGCAAAGGGTCGAGGCATTTCTCAAAATGTTTGAGACCACACTTTATGAGATGACAATTGATGAATTCAAGGTTTGATAGCTCTATTAATATTATATTAGTTTGCTTGAAATGTTGTTCCATAAATATTCAATGAAGAATGCTTCTAGGTAGATATGCCTGTGCTAATCCTTGTGAGTTTTGAATTAGATTCTCATTGCAAGCAGTACAAACATAGATCTTATGAATCATAAAGGATATCTACATGTCCACTTGATGGACTTTACACAAGTATCTATATTTTGGACTTTATGTGTATCATCATTTATAAGCATTAAGCAAAAGACAATTATGTGTACCAATTTTTTTAAAACTGAATTGATTTGTTGAAGACATGGATTCGGGGTTTTCATAATCGAATTTAATAAAATAATATTTTTATAATATACCAAGTATATAATTAGTTGATTAGTAACAATAATTTCTTTTACATAAGAAAGAAAAATAACAAAAATTGTTATCATGATTAATGTAAGTTACAATGAATGTTACAAATATAAAATACATAAGAGTGAAAGATGGATAATAGTTAAAATAAGATGAAAATACAATAAAATAACTAATATTTAATAATAACATAACTAATATGAGATAAAGAAAATAATTAAAACATATTATAACTTCTATAAAAGAATTGTATTAAAAAAATTGATTTTGAATATTTTTTTACCAAAATAGGTTTGATCCAAAAACCATGTTAGTTTTGTATTGGTTTTTCTAGTTTAATTAAAATATGATTATTTGGAAGCAAAGGACTGATTCCCTATTAAATTGGCCAATTTGATCCAGTTTTCAAAACAGGGATGTTTACATATCAATTGTAACTTGTTTGGGAATGCTAACATTAAGTAAATAATCACAAAATGCATTAAAAACAAAAATACTCGAACATTATTCATTATTAGAATCAATTATCAATGTACAAGGGCACTTGTGAGTACTGCATTTGGCCAATCCATATGCAGAACAGTGGTGTTACCCAAACCTGGTGGAAGATCATTACCTACTCTATAAGAGGAAGTCATCAAGTCAATGAATTAGATTATGATAGTCTCAAGAGCCATTTATTATTATACGGAAACTTTTAATGTTACAGAATTGTAGCTAAAACAGTATGTATTAAATTTTCAGTGGAATAGGAGCACTAACTCATAACTGGCAGTACTATATTGCTTTATCTTTTGTGATTCATGTTCCATGAGTATTCATAAGATCAATTTAGGAGAGTTAAAATCAATATGTTTGATTCAGTCGCATATGTAGTTATATGCAATATAGCAGCTATTGGACTTGTATTGTTACTTGAAATCTTGAGCCTTTAATTCACAGTTTAAGCTTAACAAATCATTATAATCGTGTTCTTGTATGTAGAGTAATGTAAATGCTTTGATAGACATGAAGCTAGAGAAACACAAAAATTTGAGGGAAGAATCATCATTTTTCTGGCGAGAGATTGACGATGGTACTTTGAGGTTTGACAGGAAAGACCATGAGGTATATACTTCTTACTGTTGGATGAATGTTGGAATTGGGATGAGTTGACTTGAAAATTGAAATTAGTGGAGAAACTCGAATATATCTATCTAATAAGGGGTTTGGCACTGCACTTGAATTGCATTGGTAATACTATTGTATGGATTTGGACCAGGTTGAAGCATTAAGGCAGCTCACGCTTCACGAATTGATAGATTTCTTCAATGAATATGTCAAAGTTGGTGCACCTCGAAAGAAAACTTTAAGTGTACGAGTTCATGGGAACAGGCATTCTTCTGAATACAAATCAGAAGTCTCAGAACCACACTTGGCTAGAATAGATAATATCTTTACTTTTAGAAGATCACAGTCTCTCTATGGTTCATTTAAAGGACTTTCTGGGCAGATGAAATTATAGCGACTGGATCCTCCAGGTTTATAAACTTCTTCACCTTAAAGAAATATTGGGCACATAAGCTTTGGATAAAATGTACCCCGTTTCAGTCCACCGACGTGCTAAACCTATTAATCTGGATTTGAATTGGGTGGTAGTAACTATGGTTTATTTTTGACATTTCTGTAAGCTTTTGTATTTTTAAGAATGCCAAACAGTTCTGTTGGCTTTTATATTTATATTTTTGACAGATGCTTTTTGGAGCAACCATGGTATTTCAAATATTTATAGTGTTTAAGATGGGCAACCATGTCCTTTTCTCGACTGATTAATCTTTGGATTCATTTTCATTGAAATTTCTACCCTTTCGTAATGTATCTCAGGTGTCACCACCCAAAAATTTGTATGAAATTTTAATATTCAACTGTGGATCTGATCAAATCTGCTCTAGAAATAATGGAATTGAGATACAAAGAGAATTAAGAGAGAAGAGATTGACATTCATGTGTCTATATCTGTCCAAATAACCAAATTGTATTTAATTAACGAAATTGGTGGCCTTTGCAAGACTCGAAGACAGACGGATGGTCCTCACTTATCCATCGTCCACGAACTCACTGATGCACGTTATTAGTTCCTTTTCTCATATCTTGCCCCCTCCCTTTCAGTGAGTCTCCACACTCTCCTTCCCTTCATTTTTTCATGTTCTCTTCTCCTTACCATCTTCGAGTCAGATCTCATCGTGGTCTCTCTAAATCTGCTCGCAGTGATGATTAGTCTAAATTTATGTGTACTATTTTTTTTAAAGTGATGCTCTTAAAGTTTCTACACCGTCAAATCTATTCAAAATGAAAAGAATTTGAAAATTAAATCTTTGAGGAGTAATAATGGTAATGAATTTTAAAATGTAGTTTTTTTTTATGTTTTTGTTTCATACAATTTTTCAACACTAAGATCACTTGATGAAAGGAAATACAAATTTTAGAAGAATAAACAAGGACAATGTTATGGTAAATGGGTTGGTGTTTTGAATATAAATTATGTTTTAAATAGTGTTTAATTAGATCCTATAATGAAATTAATATCACAGTTTTGAAAAGAAAAAAATTATTTCTTATTTTAAAATATTTGGCTGTAAATATAATTAGGAAGATAATTTGGGCAAATTTAATTCAAAAGGCTAAAGAATAAAATTCTTCGGATATGTATTATTTAAACATAGAACTTTTAAAAAAATACTTTGATGTTAAAGAATTAATTCAAACACTTTTTAACAAGATAACCTTTGGCGATGAAGAATCTATTCAAGTTACTTTTATAAAAGTATAGATCATAGCCAAAACTTGTGAGTAAAAAATGATTAGATAATGACGCTTTAAGCCTTGAATTTAAGTCAAAGAAGTGAGCCTTCCTATTATTGTTTTGAAGAGCAATATTCATGCAACTGCACACTCTATAAGTGATTTTTCTAACGAATATAGAGAACTCCAAGAGATCATTCACGTAACAACAGACATATTCAAGGGAGTTATCATATAAGGTAATCTAACTTGGCCACCAAATCAGACAACTGATATATGAAATTTTAAAGAAATTTGACATGGATAACTCAAAGGAATAAAAAACATGCTATCTAAATGCATATCAAAATGAATAATCGATTGATTAAAGTAAATATAGATTTTTTATTGATTTTTTGTTATACTTTACTGATAATAATCATAATATAGTGTGAAAATTTGTGTTTTTTGCTCGTTTTTAGGCATAGTGGTAATTATGAGAATTTTTAAAATATTTTAAATACACTAGAAAGATGCGTCTTTGTCATGAGAGGTGAATCTATTAATTTTATAGGTTATTCGATTATGATGGTAGGGTAGACAGAAAGTATTGTTTTACCGTGTTTATTAGATTTCATATTATCAAAGTCTTCATTCAATGGATGAAAGGTAACTATTATTAGGTATTTTGAGAGAGAATAGGAAGAAAATTATCATAAATAAAATAAGAGTGAATCATATAATAAAATATTATTTCATCCAAAATATTTAAAATTATTAATCTTTCTTATTTATAAATTATTTAATTTTTTCATTTTTAAATAAAATTTTAACTTATAATTAAATTCTTAATTATAATATATTTTTTTAACATTTTCCCAATTAAATGTAATGATACCAATATCCTAAAATAATTATTTATTGTTAAATTCAGAAGTTTAATATTTAAAATTTTGGAAGGATAAAATTATATTAAATTATATTGTGATATCAAAAATAAATAAAAATATATTAAGAGCAAAGAAAAGTTTATATATATATAATTTATTGAAAAATCAACTAATTGACAAAAATTATCTAAAACAAAGTATTATTAAAATACCTCATTAAATTAGGTACGTAAGATTTGTGTACATCAACTTAAAAAAAATATTTTTTTATTTTCTTCGTAAAATAAGATTGTATATATTTTATATTCGAAAATAAATATATATTTCAATACATATTTTCAATTACGTATCTTAAAAAAAAAGTTTACACCAGAAGAGAGAAAAGATAAGTAGATAAGATAAATAATAATAAAAAATAATTTCTCTTTCTAATTTTAGAATAAAAAGAAAATAATAGTAAAGGAAACACTTTTAACAGAATAATCAGAAGTTCATTAATCTAACCAAACACGATAAGGGATTAATGTGTTTCGCCGATGGCTTTACAAAATTTCAGGGTAACTATTTGCGCAATCTCATCTGCGACATCGTTCGAAAAACCAGTTGCCCTTCTCTTATTTATCCAATTGAAAGGCGTTTGATGTGAGAAATGAAGGACCAATACTCACCACACTGTGGTTCACATTTTCTACACAATTCAGGACAACCATCCATGCTCAGATCTTCAAGGGCAGTGAGGCGATGCATTTCATTTGGGAGACTAATCAGTTGAGGACAGTTAACAATTTGGAGCACCTTAAGATGGCTCATTGTTGTCAGCCATTCTGGAAGCATAGTAAGATTATCCCAATTCAAAATTAACAATGTCTTCAAAGTGTTTGCGGCTCCTTGAATCCACTGAGGCAACGACTGTTGCCTTGGACAATGATCAAGATGCAGAAATTTCATCCTCAAATTTTGGATCGTGCTTTCATAATTCAGTGACAAATTTAGCATCTCACACCTTTCTACAAACAGCGCCTCCAGTTGAGAGAGAAAATGCAGAGGTAAAGACTCCAGGCTCCCACATGATTGAATGATGAAAACTTTGAGGGATGGGAGTTGTGTTTGTCTGACCAAAATCTTTATATTGTCACAATATTTAAAACCCAAAGTATGAAGATTGGTCAAGCTTGCAAATTCATCCTCCGGAAGAATAGATTGTTTTGTGGTGATAAACAATTTTCGAAGGTTGATTAACATACCTAATCCTTTAGGCAATGTTTCAAGCTCCACACATCCCCAGAAAAACAAAAATTGCAAATTTTGGATCTTGCATATAGAATTAGGAACTCTTTTTATTTTAGTGTTATTTGTAAGTAGGAGAGCTTGCAGGTGCTCCAATCTAGCAATTGAATTAGGTAAAGTCTCAAAAGAGGAATCACCTAAATATAAAACCCGTAGGTATTTGTATCTTCTTATCCACGTATCCAAAAGGGTTTCACTGTCAATTCCCACTCCAGGGATGGGAAAGATTAGAGTTCTCACACTTTTGGACTTGGGGAACAAATCATGGCTAAGTGAATCATTCTCAACAACTGATAAATGCCTTACATGCTCAGGTATACTGTGAGTATGAGAGTTTACCACTAGAACCTCTTCTTTCGCCACATACAGAGCAAGATCATGTACCAAATCATGTAGTTTGAAAAAATAAACTGGGCCAAAGTTCTTAAAATCCTCGAGAAATGATCTTGATCGTAACTCTTCTATATATTGTCTTCCAATATTCTCGATCTTTTGATCTCCAGCGGGAGATTGTAGTAATCCAAGTGATCCCCAAATATTAACCAAAAAACCATCAGCAAAGAGAAAATCTTTAGGATAAAGAGAAAAGAATGCAAAACAGTGCCTCAAATAAGATGGCATTTGATCATAGCTCAACTTAAGAGCAGGTAAAATGTCATCTTTCTTTTGATTTAACTTCCATATCTCTTGGTCTCTTATAAATTCCCATCTTTCTGTATCAAAATTTAAGAACAGTGAACTTCCTAAAGTTCGCACAGCCAATGGAACCCCTCCGCATTTTTTCACAATTTCTCTTCCAATATCCACTAGATTTGGATATTTTTTCTCTTCACCTTCCTTAAATGCCCATTTCACAAACAGAGATAGACAATTCTCGGCAGAAAGAGCTTCTAAAACATACGACGGAACAGTGCCCATCATTGAAGCAATTGAGTTACCTCGTGTTGTCACCAAGATTTTGCTTCCAACTGCCCCCACTTTTATTAAATCTTTCAACTCTATCCATTTTGCACGATCATCGTTCCATGTATCATCCAACACTAGTAAATACTTCTGACCAGAAAGCTTGTGTCTAAGAAGACTTTGCAACTGCTCAATATCTAAGCCGTTAACGTTGTCCTGGTGAGCAAGAGCACTAGCCGAAGCTGTAGCATTATCAGAAGCAAAAGCAGAATTGATCATCTTAACAATTATCTGCCTAATGTCAAAGTCATTAGAGATACACACCCACATCTTCAATTGGAAATGTTCATCCATCCTCTTATCATTGAACACCAACTTTGCAAGTGCGGTCTTTCCCAACCCTCCAATACCCACAACGGGAATAACACACACACTTTTATCTCCAACACCATCACCATGAGGGTGAGGTTGCATCAAAAGCTTGATAATTTCATCCCTATCCTTCTCCCTTCCTATAACCCGTGAAGCATCAACATGAGAATAAGTCATTTCTCTCCTTTGCACAAGGTTATGGTCAAAATCAATCCTCTCAAGACAAAACTTATTCCCATCAGCAGCTATTTTATCCAATCTATGCCGAATATATTTGATTTTATGAGCCATCCTAAAACGGAAAACAAGAGAGTTAGATGAAGAAAAGAAATGGCCTACCTTCATCCTGGTGCTTCCTGAAGCTTTGACAACTTGCTTTCTCAAGTTTTGGTACTCAAATCCATCCAACACATCTTCAGCATCTAAGCATACGTTTTGAATCTGCCTCAGCCATTCACGCAACCCATGCTTTTGTCCCTTCTTCTCCTCAGCATCTAACAGCACACCTTTGACTATTGATAAGGTGTCTTTGATCCCTCGAAGCTCCTCATACACACCATAGGCTCGAGAAGCTTCTTCGTAAACATAAGAAGCTAACTTCTTTATCAGTGATTCAGCAATATCAAAGACAAAATACTCGGCCATGTTCTTCAGGAAGTGTCGAAATGGAGCTGGGATAGAAGTATGTGGTGTGGTCAATGTCAATGCTCCTCCTTATTCATGTACACTCATTTTCCAAAATGCCAAATTCCACGGGAAAATTGTTACGTGTATCTTGGTGTTGATCAATATCTGTCTAATAATAATAGAGTATTATACTTCGAAGATCCATGTTACGCGTAGCATGAACATTGACACACAATAACACGATTAATTTTTGGAGTACGCTGTATTTTTAAGGCTAAATACCGAATTCATTTTGTTTTTAAGGGTGGAAATAAACAACTGAAGAAATGAAATTAGGTTTTAAAGATTGGGTTTAATTGTTGCAATCAAATTTAATAAAATATAATATTTTTCATAAAAAAAAATAAAGATTAATGTTATAATTTATAAAATATATTAGAGAATGAAAAATAATAATTATTAAAATAAAATAAAAATATAATAATAAAATTATTATTTAAAATTGACATAATTAATAAAAGATAAAAAAAATATATTATATATTATATATTATATAAAAATATTATATAAAAAAATAGATTTTAAATTTTTTTTTCTAAAATCGGATCAACCTAAAAATTGAGATGATTTTATTAATTTTTCTCTTGATTTTTTTGATTTTGTCCTGATTTAATTAAAATATATTTTTAATTTAATTTACTTAAAAAAAGTATTTTTAACGCAGATAATTTTGTTATATAATTATGATATTTTGAGGATTAATTTTACCAGGATTAGCATAAAACACAGTATCTCTCCATGTTTTTTTAATGATTTATTTGAAATTAAAAAACAATAATTGGCTTATATTGATAATTATTTACCGTTTATAATATTTTTTTTTACTGATATTAAAATTGTTATTGGATCTTTCCATGTTATCATATCCTAAGATTGTATACATAGTAATGGGATCTTAAACACACCTAATTTCTTCCCTACACATTTGAGTGTTACTCATCTTGCAACCTCAATCGCAATTGCGACTGCATTTGAGAAAGGAGTTGTCCTTCTCTTGTTTCTCCAATGGAAACACGTTTGACATGAGTGATGAAGGGCCAGTACTCACCAGATTCTGAATCACATTTTTGACACAACTCAGGACAACCATCTAAGCTCAAATCTTCAAGATCAGTGAGGTTATGCATGTCACTAGGAAGATTCAACAGTTGAGAACAGTTAACAATATGCAGCTTCTTAAGACGTGCCATTGTTGTCAACCACTCTGGAAGCATCTTAAGATTATGACAATTTAAGATTAACATTGTCTGCAAAGTGTCAACGGCTCCTTCAATCCACTGAGGCAATGTTTGTAGCTTTGGACAATGCTCAAGATGCAGGAATTTCATTCTCAATCTGTGCATTGGGTTAGTATAGCTCTGGGACAGATTTAGCATCTGGCAGCGTATTACACACAGAACCTCCAGCTTAGGGACAATACAAAGAGGTAAGGACTCCAGGCTTCTACATGATTGGACAGTCAAAACTTCTAGTGAAGTCAGTTGCACCCGTCTGAACAAAAACTTCAATTTCTCACAATATTCAAAACTCAGAGTTTGAAGATTGGTCAAGCTTGCAAATTCATCCTCAGAGAGAGTAGATTGTTTCGTGGTTATATACAATTTTCGAAGGCTGATTAACATCCCTAATCCCTTAGGCAATGTCTCAAGCTCCATGCATCCTCTTAGTGACAAGATTTGCAAGTTTTGGAGTTTGCAAAAAGAACGAGGAAGTCTTCTTATTTTGCGGTTATTCACAAGACTGAGAGCTCGCAGATGCTCCAATTTAGCAATTGAATCAGATAACTCAATAGAGGAATCACTTAAATCTAAAATTCTTAAGTATCTGTATCTTGTTAGCCATGTTTCCAAGAGAGCTTCACTGTCAACACCTATTCCATGGATGGGAAACAGTATACTTCTCACACTTCTGGACTTGGGGAACAAAGCATAGCTGAGTGAATCATATTCAAGAACTGAGAAGTGTCTCACATTCTCAGGTATATAGTGAGTATGGGACTTGACCACTAGAAAGTCCTCTTTGGCCACGTACAATGCAAGATCATGTACCAAATCGTGTACTTTGAAATAGTAATAGTGTCCAAAGTCCTCAAAATCCTCAAGAAATGATCTTGAATGTAACTCGCCTATATATTGCCTTGCAACATTTTCTGGATTTTGACTTCCAGCTGGAGATCCTAATAATCCATGTACTACCCAAAGACTAGAAATTTGGGCACCAGCAAAACCATAATCTTTAGGAAAAAGGGAAAAGTAAGCAAAACACTGCTTCAAATATGATGGCATTTGATCATAGCTCAACTTAAGAGCTGGTAAAATATCATCTTTTTTTTGTTTTAAACTCCATATCCCATGGTCTCTTATGAATTCCCACCTTTCTGAATCAAAGTTTAAGAAAAGGGAACTTCCTAAAGTACGCACTGCTAATGGAACTCCTTTACATTTTTTCACAATTTCTTCTCCCATCTTCACTAGATTTGGATGTCTTCTTTCTTCCCCTTCATTAAATGCCCATTTGACAAACAGAGATAAACAATCCTTCGTGGAAAGGCCTTCTAAAGAATATGAGGGAACAGTGCCAATCATTGAAGCGATTGAGTTACTTCGTGTTGTCACTACAATTTTGCTTCCCACTGCACCAACCTTTATCAAATCTTTCAACTCTATCCATTTTGCGCGATCATCATTCCACATATCATCTAACACTAGTAAATACTTCTGAGCAGAAAGCTTCTGTCTTAGATGACTTTGTAAATGCTCAATATCTAAGTTATTAATGCTTTCTTGGTGAGGAATAGAAATAGTAGGAGTTGAAGAAGAAGAAGCCGAAGCAGAGTTGATGATTTTAACAATTAACTGCCTAATGTCAAAGTCATCAGAGATACACACCCACATCTTTATTTGGAAAAGTTCATCCATCCTCCTATCATTGAACACCAACTTTGCAAGTGTGGTCTTCCCCAACCCTCCAATACCCACTATGGGAATAACACACACACTTTTATCCCCATAACCATCACCGTGAGGGTGAGGCTGCATCAAAAGCTTGATAATTTCTTCTTTATCCTGTTCCCTTCCGAAAACACCTGAGGCATCAACGTGGGAATAAGTCATTTCTCTCCTTTTCACAAGTCTATGGTCAAGATCAATCCTCTCAAGACAAAACTTATTCCCATCAGTAGCTATCTTATCCAATCTATGCCGAATATATTTTATTTGACGAGCCATTCGAAGACGAAAAACAAGAGAATTTGATGAAGAAAAGAAGTGTCCTACCTTCACCCTGTTGCTTCCTGAAGCTATGACAACTTGCTTTCTCAAGCTTTGGCACTCAAATCCATCCAACACATCTTCGGCATCTAAGCATACGTTTTGAATCTGCCTGAGCCATTCGCACAACCCATGTTTCTGCTCCTTCTTCTCCTCAGCATCCAAGAGCACACCTTTCAAAATCGACAAAGTGTCTTTGATCCCTTGCACGTCCTCATGCAGATTATAGGCTCGAGAAGCTTCTTCATAAACATAAGATGCAAGCTTCCTTAGCAATGATTCAGCAATGTCATATACAAATATTTCGGCCATGTTCTTCAAGAAAATAGCATAAAGAGTTGGGATTGAAAGTTTTTGGTGTGGTTACTAGTCCTCCTTCCTACTCATATACACCTATTTTCCTATATGAACAGTGAATTAGGGTCGCTGATTTGTCATGACCAATGTATAAATTAGAACAACGTAAATAGATTAATTATATGTACGTGAGAGAGAAAATACAAATAATATGTCAATCGAATTTATCAAAATAATTTGTTATAACTTTTTTTCAATGTAATACTTTGTTTCTTATAAAAAAAATCCAAAAGAGAAATATTTATGCCTTTTAAGATTTTTAAAGAAATGGAAAAAGTGCAAAGTAGTTTACTCAAATTCTAATCGGATAAAAAATATTTGTTAATTCAATTTTTATATTAAACCACACATGAGAAACGATAGTAATACTCTCTCTCAAACATTATTTTTATTATTAGTTGAAATTGATTAACAAATTACTAATTTTTGTGAGTCTTACTTCTCATTTAACATTTAATGATTCTTTTATAATTTTAATGGATTTTAATAAATTTAAATCAATGAAATGTTAAAAACAAAAACGTTAAAGATAATGCTATTAGTATCTTCTCTCAATTAGAATATAAGTAAAAATGATGCTTTCTGGATTTAAATATAAATAAATTCCAACTAACTTAATATTATTTAATACTATTATTTTGAAATCACTCTTATATTTAAAAGTAGACATCACTATCCAATAAATATGATTAGGAATAATTTCGAAAATATATTTTTTATTTTATAAAATTAAGAAATTGATATTTTTAATCAGTGTAAATACTTATACTTGAGTTGAAAGATAGTATCTTTTTGTTTTCACACAAATTAGGCAAATTTTTTAAAGGTTATTTATGTTGGATTATCCCACACTCCAAACCTAAACGCCTATTTCAAAGCAAAAATGTTTGTTTAATGAAAAAGTCAACAAATTGTTACCCGTCTTCTACGAAGGAATGGGATGGATGGAGAAGCACGTTCTGTGGTCCACGATCCAACGAATTTAGCGGCTGTAACAATTTTAATATAAAGTCAATTTTTTTTAAATATGACATATTCATCCTTCAAAATATATATTTTATGCTTTGTTGAAAAGACCATGTTAACCTTTGGAGTCTCTCATAATTCTTACTAAAATCTATTTTATTATGTTTATTTATGAATTATTTTGTGAGTAATCCTGTTTCTAATTTCTAAATTAATTATGATTAGGATTCTTACAACGGGAAAGTGGACATTACTTTTATGAGAAGATGGATGAGTAGTTTCATTACTAATACAAAATAATTAAATAAAAGATTATATTTTTTTAATGATAATTAATTAAAAATTGATATTGAAAGAAATGTGGTAGTAATTTAAAATTAATTTTAATTTTTCAATGATAGTTGGTTTTCGTATTTGTAACAGTTACAAAATGAATTATTGTTATATGTTTGAATAAAAAAAATTAATGACAGCTCCTTTATAATTATATAACGAATGTTACGTGCATGTCACATGTAATTATGATTATATATTTTAATTATTATTATATGTCCATTTTTTTAATGATAGTTCTTTTATAATAATGGTTGTATATGACATATGATCTATTTTATAATCATGACGACGATTATAAATAAAATTGTGGTTGTATGTCTTGTTATAGTTAGATTATTTCGCCTTTGTACCCTCATTCTTATGTCTCCTCTTTTCTTTTTCTTTTTTCTCTCCTCTTCTATTCCATTTCTCCTTTTCATCTTCATTTCATTGCAATTTGGTTTTTCTCTTTCTCCTCTCCCTTTGTCTTTCATTTGTAAAGTGTCTTTCTCGGTCATGAAAGTCTCTAATATGTTCAATGTCATCACAAGAAAAAATAACAATAAGAAGGTAAATTTTCTCAATCTCCTTTCCCTTTTTCTCTCATTCGCAAAGTATATATTTTCACCATAATATTTTCAACTTTCTCTTCTAGAAAAAAAATTATTAATGTTATAATAGGAAAGTTTATTTTGGATGAGTCATAAATGAAGAATGAGTTGGAAACTGTTCTGGTGGAGACATACTTCACATTGCTACAAAAGCTTTTGTCAATAGTGATGTTGTACTAAAAATCAACAATGAGAAGCTTCTAGGTTTGTTGTGCAAGTTTTTTAACATATAATGGTGATTATAAATATTACTAACATTGTATTGATAACATATAACGATAATTATAACAATAGTTTTAAAATTGTTATATCTTTTTTAATTATCTTTATATACCTTATATGCAATAATGCATGATTCTCGTACTTCTCTTTAATGAGTTATTATAATGCAACATATAACAACATTCATTCCTTTGATCTCTAGTCTTTTAAGATGACCAGACTAAATTATTAAAATAATTAAGTTTTTATTAATATCTTAAAGTTGATCTTAACTTATTTTATAATAATACATAGTCCTTTAGTCTCCAATATTTTAAAGACAATAACATTAAATGATTACAACAACTAAGTTTCTATATTATTGTCTAATGATACATCATAACTTTGGTTGTGTTTTGTTGAATAAAATTAAATATTCGAGTTTTAAGAGTTTGTTAGCATAAAAAGATAATAAAAAGATAATTAGAAGTTAGTTGGAATATTTTGATATTAATGATATTTTTTTTAGTTTTTATTTGATTTTGGGAATATTTTGAGACTGTATATAAATACATGATTATATTCCTCATTTGAGGTATGACAAAGAATCAATAATATATAATTCTATAGTTTCCAAGAAATTCTTTGTTATCAAATTAGTCAGAGTTAAGGTTTTTTTTAGAAGAACTAAGGTTCTTTAGAAAAATGGAAGCTATGGTTTGAGTGTCAAAATTGAGATGGTCGGTCTGATAAATGTTGTTGTGCCCCGACTGATTAAGGAGGTCGGTTATGAGAAATGGAGTGTCCAAATGAAGACTTTCCTCAAAGTCCAGAGTTGTTGGGGATTAGTAGAGGAAGGTTTTATAGAACCTGAGAACACGAAAGATTTGATGCTCAATGCACTCAGAGAGCTGAACAAGAATCGTGAGAAAGACAATACAGCTCTATTCACACTGTTTCAAGATGTAAAAGACACCAATTTCAAGAGTATCACAAATGTTAAATGTGCAAAAGGAGCATGGTCGACACTGGAAGCAGCATATAGGAGCAATGACCGAATCAAACAGGTTTGGTTACATACCTTGTATGGTGAGTTTGAAAGCATGAGGATGAAATATTCAAAAGAAGTTTCCAAGTACATCACTCGTGCCCAAACCGTGGTGAATGAACTCAATCGGGATGGAAAGACGATATCTAAAAATTGGGTTGTATGAAAAAATCTTAAGATCGTTAATCAACGATTTTGAGAAAAAGTTTGTACCATTGCAGAGTCTCATATTTTGTCCAAACTCATGCTTCAGGAACTGGTTGGTTCGCTTGAAGCCCATGAATTTTGGAGGAAGAAGATGAAGGAGGAGACGATTGTACAAGTGATGAAGGCCAAGTCAAAAGAGGAGAAGGCATTATATTCCCAGAATAATAAAGGACGAGGACATAGTGGTCGATCCCGAGGTGGTCGATTTGGTCGAGGTCAAGGTGACCAGAAGTAAGAGGGGGTTCAATAAAACTGACGAGGAAAAGGACATGGATCGAGAGGAGGTCGGTCAACGAAGGACTTAAATGTCGAGTGTTTCAATTGTGGCAAGTATAGTCATTATGTGAAGGATTGCTATTCAAAAAAGTGTTTCAAATAAAGAAAGGAAGGGCGTTTTGCCAAAGAGTGCCAGGTGGGTGAGATGAGACCCATCTTACAGAAGGGATAGAAGAACCAACACTCATGATGGTCGATCTTCACTTGGTGATTCACTTGGGAGTTGATTATAGTGATGGATATGATCAAAAGTCAGTATGGTATCTGGATACATGGGCGAATAATCACATGTGTGGTGATGAACGTCTTTTTAAAGAATTAAAGAAGTCGAATATTGGTACTATTTCGTTTAGAGACGCTTTGAAGGTCTCGGTAAATGGTCGAGGCATAATCCACTATTTGCAAAAGGATGGACTAATAGAGATGATCCAAGATGTGTACTTTGTTCCCGATCTCAAAAGTAACATCTTGAGTATGAGACAATTGATGGAAAAGGGGTATACAGTCTTCATGAAAGACCGAGTGCTCCAGTTGAGGGATAAACTTGGAAGACTGATTTCTCAGGTTAAGATGGAGAGGAACAGGTTGTATAAGTTGCAGTTAGAAGGTATTTTGGCGAAGTGTTTGAAGTTTGACGTGGAGGACACAATGCTAATTTAGCATCATCGGTTTGGCCACTTGAGTTTTGATAGGATTGTCGAGCTGTCAAACAAGAAGATGGTGCTCGGACTTCCGAGCTTGGAAAATGAAAAAAGATTTGGTGAAGAATGTGTGATCGAAAAATTGGCAAGGGCCCCTTTTTTGAAGAGTGTCGAGTACCAAGCAGATAAACAACTTGAGTTTATTCATACTGATATGTGTGGATCGATTACCCCTGAGTCATTCAGTGGTAAGAAATATTTCATGACATATGTTGATTATTTCTCTTGAAAGACGTGAGTCTATTTGCTGGAAGAGAAATCTGAAATGTTTGAAGTGTTCAAAAAGTTTAAGATAATGATTGAGAACATAACCGAATGGCATATCCGATCAGTCCGATCGGATAGAGGAGGAAAATATATGTCGGATGCTTTCATAAAGTATTGCAAAGATGAAGGAATAAGGAGATTCCTAACAACCTCATACTCACCACAATAAAATGAAGTGATTGAGATAAAAAATCGAACGGTTCTTGGCATGATTCGAACTATGTTGAAATCTAAGAGTATGTCAAAAGTGTTTTGGGTCGAGACGGTACAGTGTTATCTACGTGCAAAATAGGTGTTTGCATGCAAAGTTAGATGTTGTAACACCACAAGAGGCATGGAGCGGTCTAAAATCAATTGTATCTC